TCCAAAAATCAAAACCCTAGGATTAAGATCTCCTAGGTCCAAACAGTTTACAGCATCAAAAAAAAAATCTCCTAGGTCCAAAAACAAAAACATTTTAAGCCAATTCTTCAAGAAAGAAAGAGAAGGCATCATAGGTGTATATCAACCCCGTAGTGCTGATATGGGCCCTAACTCTGGGTTCCTCAAGTAAGAGATCTCTTCTTTTCCTAATTTGTTTCTGATTCTCTAGCTTAGTTTAGATTTTTAGCCGTCTTTATTGATCGATACATATTTTGACCGTTTGACATGAATTTGAGATCTCATTCCGAGTTCTCCCCAGATTTGCACATAAACACTATCATACTATAAGAATCCATAATCTTGGGGGTGTAAGGTGTTGGTTCAGTGGCTTGCTGATTTTCCAATTCTTCCCATATCCCAAGTGTTGTTTTTTCCTGCTTGCTTGTTTTAGCTTTAATTTAAGATATAATGTTCTAGCGCAGTCTTAACTTAGAATATCAGATATACGTAAGACTAAAACATGTTTCTGCATACATGCGATTACTTTTTGTAACACAAAAGAGTGCTTAAATGCAGTTCACTTAGTTTACTACCCTTCTTGTATGGGCACCCACAACTTTTTTCAGAAGAATAGAAAGACCCAGCTAGTAGTGAGTAGAATAGGTTCAACACAGGTAAAACATATTGGTAAAGTTGACTTTCAATGACACTTGTTAAAATTCTGAAATAACTTGGTGGTGGATATTTAGTTATTGTAGCTGCACTATCTTATCCAATGGAATATATATGTTCATGAATAAGACAATAAGCAACTTAATACACAAGATAATTTGTACGTATTTAAGAATTTTTGTAGTTGAGGTAGTGAGCATCCTACATTGTGGTTATGTGTATTGAAATTGGTGGAGTTCTGGCCATGGCATTTATTGTAATAGGCATATTTACATGATCCTCCTAATAAGGTATTGTTAGTTGTATCCTCACCTACTACTATTCTTATTGACGTTTTTAGGAGTTCACTGCAAGTAACGTATTTGAGAGACTTGTTCTGGTAAAAATTTAGAAAGTTAATTTTGCGAAAGTCGAAACTTCTTCGCTTGGAGAACAAAAAGAATAACAGGTTAGGGAATTTTAGATTTTAAGGCCTTGGCATGCTTCATAGTACTGGGCTACAGATAAGAACCTCTTTTGCAGGAACTTTGTGTTAAAGGTAGCGCTCTCTCTTTGACATGCACTTCCAAATCTGATTTGCGACATTCCCTTTCTTAGTGCAACTACCTTTCTAGTTCTGTGCATCTAGAGGAATTTTGTTTGAGAGGTGTCAAACCTCCTTGCAACTGTTAAAATAAGTCGGTCTCTTCCATTTTATTGACTAAAATGGTGAGATTTGGGTCATGATCAATGTCTATCCTGTCAGCAAAGCTTGCAGCAGCCACCAAAGCATTTGAAGGAGGAAAGTGTTTATATAAGGGTAAGACCCTAAACAATCAAATTAAGGCGCACCACAAAAATTCACTGGAAGAGGTTGTTTTGATGCTGCGACACCCTGGATTTGATCATCTCGACCTCAAGACGTATGGCCACGAGAAAAAAACAGATTTCAAGTCTTGGAAATAGTGCATGTTGTAATTTATTATTTAGATCGTCAATTTTCGAGATTCTCAGATGTTCATAAATCCACTCCTTCTAAACTATTTTTTAATATTTAAATTTTATAGTTAGAGATGAAAATAAAACTTTCGGGCCATCATAAAGATTTATGAAACTGAAACAACATATTTTGACACTATTTGAAGGTGGGCCTAACTTTGATTGTTTACGGCCTCAGCCTTATACAAACCACACCCTTTGAAGAACGGCATTAAAATGCACATGTATTCTGTCTCCTTGCCTGCAATATTATAGATTTTAATTAGAAATTTTAGACAGTCCCAAGGCATTTTCCTTTTATTCTGGGATGGATTAGAAACTAATATTGGCCATTTCACATGGCAGATGGCCAGGAAATAAATTTAGAATATTGGAGTATATTGTTATCTGCATAATTTGCTTCATTTGTTGAAATTATTAATTATGGGAAGGAAATAAGGTGTTTGGTTAGCCGTTGCACTGTTCACTAATAATTTAGACATATTTATGGTCCTACACAGGTTGTAAATATTGAGGCAGGCAATTTGGAGGCCGAAACGTCTTCCTATCACTGCAAGTAGGTCAAATTGGGCATATGGGCATTATATTTGCTTATTTATCGTATTAGACTGGTTGTTGTATTTCTAATATTTTTCTCCCTTTTCTGCTTGGTTCCAGTGTTATAAAACAGATGCCTTTTGACACGATTGATCCCCCATTGGCAATCGGATTCTATTGCCGTGATAACGGTATGCTTTGCTGCTGCTTACTTGATTTCTTGCAAATTTGGCCAATCCATCCTTTTCATTTCCAAATGGTGAAATGGTTATTTGCTAACCACCGATAAGCTGATCAATAGTTTCATGTCAAATATTTTGTTGCTATGTATTTGCGTTGAAATATCAGAACTTTCTGAGTAGGTTGACGAGTTTTCAGAACCAATTTGTACCTCATTCTCTATCAATGTGGTCATTCTTTTTATTTCTCTTCCTTTTTAGGTTCTTTACCAGTAAAACCAGAGTAGGTTAAAACATAAGCACAGTTAATCCTTTGAATAGCAGTTTGTTTGGGTTGTGTGCCCCTTCCTGGGGTAGAATTCCCATATTTTCAAAGCAGTTCCCCTTTCAAAAATATTTGAGAGGTTCTCATTGGCATCCCTGCTAAGTGTTTCACTATTTCTCTGGCTCTGTTTTTTTTTTTTTGATGTTTTTGTTCACAGCCATTGAGACCTAATTTGTTCCGGTTTTCATTTTTGTATTGACGTGTTCCGAGACTGAAAGTAAAGGGATTTCCACTTTCCATTTGTGAGCAGATGATTTTAAGGATTTTTGCACTCGGGCTGCTGAGATTGCGAGCAATTCAAATGGAGCACCATTGTTTACTGTTACAAATTCGAAACCAGTGAAGAAGGACGCATTGGCAAGCGGGTCTAGTGTTTGTGAAGATGAAGTCAGCAACAGAAAACTGGTTTTGGAGGCCGATTCTTTGCAGCTTCTCTGAGTGGACTTTTCAAGTTATGGAATCACAACAAGGGCTTGGGAAAGCAGTGGCTTGCGTGTTATCGATGAATGTTCATCAGGGTCTCATTCCCCTTCAATTTCTTTGTACATTTAGATGCAAAGCACAAACCTGAACTGGTATATAGACCCTTTCCAATTGATATGGGTATCGGTTACCTTTTATAAATTATTGGTTTGAGCTGGGGCTCTTGATTTAGGGATGCTTCTTTTAGGGTTCTGAATCCCTGAACTAATGGGAAACTGCCAAATCTTAGGTGCTTTATCTAGGAATGTGCTTTCTGTAGCTAGGCCTGCAAAAACATTAATTTACTCTCCTGTAGGGGTGTGACTTCTTGTGGTGCAAGATGATCCTGACCCTAGTAAATCCTTGTATTTCTTGTAAGTTTGAGTTTAAATGCTTGATCCATGCTCAACGTGAATAGCTTGTATAATACTTGTGTAGCTTTAATTTATTGGGACTTTACAATGAGACTTTTTTACTTTTGATATAAGGAGGTCACAATTACTTACAACCATTCAATGTGAAATTTGATAGATTGGGTGTGTTATAATGTTCGAGAAAAAAAAATTTTAAGTTTTGAGCTTGGTTAATAGAATAAATGCAGCAACCGAATTTCACATCCAATAGTCAAGATTAATTGTGACCATTTTGTATCAAAGATAAATGGTCTTTTCTTAATTTATGCTTTTGATGCTAAACTTCTAATCGTATTTGATACTACAGCATAAAGTTGTCCTTTTACTATTATGGGCAAAGCAGTTGGGGGATTTTTTTATCCAAAAATTTTCCAAAGTACACCTTTGATTCACTAGAACATAAAAAGATTCTTGGCTCTCAAAACCGGTATATCATCCTTAAAATGGATGGTGTACATGCATTTTTTTATGTGGACATTCATTTGGATCATTTTTAGGGCACAACAATGAATTTTTTTAGATTGATCATGGGGATGAAAGATCTGGGGTGAAACAATAAGTAAATAGGTGTTTTGTAGTTGGGAACAAGTGTGTAATTTGCTCCATGGGAGCACATAATAGTTTAACCTTTTCTTGAATTTGGGTGATTTTCGTATGTGCCATTTCATGATGAGTACATAACTATTGTGCAGTTTTGAATGTGGACAAGGGACTTATTTACAACGGAAATGATCAAAGCCTCATGAAAGATCCCCAAATTCACTGCAATGTTGTGGAGTCTCTCAACGAATTCTTACCTAAATGAATTCTATCTTTTATTATTTCTTCTGGCAATGGATTAAGTGGTCCAACTAGAAAAAATGGGCTGGCCTACAAGTTTTAGTCCTGAGGTTGGACCTGGGCTTGGCCTATCTTGTTGGCAGCCCTGAGACCTAAGATGTGTGGTTCGTCCTAATATTTTCCAAATTTTTATATTAAGAGAAGAGCTATAATATGAGCTGTAGGGGATTGTAGACAATGAGACCATATATATTTATTACAAGAAGGTCACAATCATCATCAACCATTAGATTTGAAATTAGGCGGTTGAAGATATATCGATATATGGGCATAAAGTTCAATGAAATTTCTCAAATGTTGTGACTTTCATCTATTGAATTTTACATCTAATAGCTATGACCTCCTTGTATAAAAAATGAATGGTCTCATAGTATACGTTTTCGAATTGTGGCATAATTGGTGTGAATTTTTTTTTTATGTTGAAACAGGTTTTTTTTTTTCTTTTTCTCTCCAAGCTCGTTAAGTTCTTTTGGATGTGGAGTTAAATTCATTGCAAAAGATGGCAACTGTTTGGTTATTTAACAGTTTGGACCAAAGTTCAAATGGATCTGGAGTCTACTTGAGCCTCTCTCTCTCTATCTCATTTCCAGAAAGAGAAACATAAGAGGTAGCTAACCTTTTAAATTTGCTTACATGCATTGAATTGGCCACTGACCAATAGAGACTTCATCTTCTGTAAGTGTTATTCATGCTTGGTAATACAAATAGATCCCCAACCATAAAGGTAATACAAATAGATCCCCAACCATAATGCTATTATGGCAGATAGTGGTGGATAAGAAGGTTAGATTCATCTATTCCTAGTCCAACAGGGATTTTACCAAGAGAGAGGCATCCATCCCATGCTGTTTCAGCTTCTCCCCAAGGTGTAAAGAAGATAAAGGCTTGAGGATACCTGGGTGGTGAGGCTATGGCCCCCCACTAGCCAACCTATTTACAAGTGCCAAAGCATTGCTAGTCAAGTGCTCCACATTCGTAACTGTAGAGCTAAGTGGAGGCCAAATCGTCGATGACACGCCGCGAAATCCATCCAAGCATGTGTCCTCATTTGTGAGGGCCGCGCTAACCCATGTCTGCACATTGCTCATTTGAAGCTCAAAGTCTACAGCTGAAAGCTTCCTCAAAACTCGAAGAGACCTATGTAGCAAGTCTAGCACATCATCAAAGTTCTCTCTGCAATCGGAAAGAGCAGCCACTTCGATCCTCTTCATTGTCTTGCCTTGGGCCAAGCTTGAGATATACGAAGAGGCATCCTTTGCCTTAGCTAAACATACAGATATTGCAGCTCTAGCAACCCCTCTGGAACTCCTGGTGTGTGAATTGGGACAGAGTGTGCGTATGCACAGTGAGGGGTACAGAGTAGCTCTGCACGCATGCCTAAGATAATAATTGCTTGGCCCAGCGCAACACCTGCACGCGAATGTGGCTGTGAGAACCATGACTAGTATGAGAGAGAAGCTTGGGGGGTTCATTTTGGCTTGTTAGGTTGGAATTAGTAGAAACCTTGGCGCCGAGAGGTTAAGGTGGCTTGTGAGAGATTGGAGTGGGGAGAGGGGCCCCTTGGGGTGGTCACTGGTTTGGTTGGGTACAGGCCTTGGGAGATACAAAGGGGTATTTAACCCTAAAATTAGGTTGGTTTCATGGATTCATGTGATAGTTGGGTGAGGTGGGGGTTGCCAAATTGCATGAGTCAGGCTTTGAGGATGCCTTTTGCTTTATCACATGGGAAGAGAGAAAATGCGCACCTTTTCGACTGTTTGTACCTTGGTGTTAATGGTGACTTATATAGTGAGCTTGAGTTGGAAATTTATCAGAGAGAATGTCGCATGCGGGCGCAAGCCCGGCCTGGGAACTTACAGAACCAACCTGGGCCTGGCTTGTCAAGGGCCCTGGTCCAGACCCAGCTCTACTCTTGGATTAGGTGTCCTTGCCTGGCCCTAGTGGATTGGGCCAAACAGGGCTAGTAGACATTAATTCCATCATATAGGGTCAGGCCTGTCCAGCCCAAAAACCAGACCTGAGGCTCAGGCCGGCCCTAAGGCCAAATTTAGTGCCCCAAGCCTGCGCTGCTTTGGGCTGGGGAGGGGGCAGCCCAGCCCATCACTCCCTCAACCTTTTTGAATATCGTGGTGCTAATAAAGACCTTGCTTTTAGGATGGGTAGGATTCAATTTTTTTGAAGAATTGGTCCTTTAGGATCGTGGTTGTTGGTTTGGTGACTTACACAGCGTTCTTATGGCGTAATAGAAGAGGTAAAGTTGGTTGGGATAAGGAGGGGGTGGTTTTCTTTCTTTTCGGTAGTAGCAGTTAGTGAGGTTAACACAGAAAAATAATTTGAATCACATGCTCTCTCTCTCTCTCTCTCTCAAAGTTCGAGAAATGGACTACTTTTGACTCACCACTCTTTCTTTTGGCAACTTCTCTACGTGCTCATCTTCTATCTTTAATCATCCTCAGGGTGTGGCTCCCCTCACCCTTCCAGACCATTCTCTCCGCTATCTTTAATCGTCCTCAGGGTGTGGCCTCCCTCACCCTTCCAGACAATTCTGTCCCCCGCCCCCCTCTCTCTCTCTCTCTTAAAAATATATATATATATATATGAAAAAAGTTTATATAAAGTTGAAGTTTTAAACAATCACACTAAGGTGCACCTCAAAAATTCACTAGAAAAAGATGTTTCTATTGAGACAATAGGCGTTTAAAAAAAAAAAAATCAAATCTTAAAAATAATGCATCTTGTAATGCATTATTTAGACCGTCATTTTTCAATATTTTCACGTGTTCATAAATCTCTACATTATTTTTTAAGCTTTAAATTCTATAGTTACCAATGGAAATAAAATTTCAGGCCATCAAAAAGATTTTTAGTACTAAAACAACATCTTTCGATAATATTTGAAGGTGCGTCTTATTTTGATTGTTTAGGGTTTCAAGACTATACAAACCGTACTCTTTATCTTTTGTATAAGGAAGTCACAATCACTTTTTACTGTTAGATATGAAATCGGAAGGTTGAGAGTATATTGTTGACTTTGCTCAAATTTCAAAAGAAGTCTCAAACTTTGTGATATACTCTTAAGCTATTTGATTTGATATTTAATGGCTATGATTTGTTATGACATCATTGTTGTAAAGATAAATGGCTTTATAGTTTATACAATTCCAATCTCTATTGGAGGTACCATAGTTTAAGAAGTCGGATCAATGGATTGAACAGTATTGAGTTGGCTGACCTCAAGAGTCAGATT